AAGTTTGTAAAATATTGCTTTTCTCATGTCAAAGTGTTTCGTTTACATTGTAAATTATTAATCAAAGGTTAACTTGAACGTAAATAATTGTCTTCTATTATAAAAACATATGTTAAACTGAAAGATGAACTTTTTGATATTGTTGTATGTCAGTGAATATTTCAAAGAATTAATTGATTTTGACTGTAAAGTTCTATCATCATGGAATCCTTATATTTATATAAGAAACTTAGTAACATTGGTAAATTTCACAGTGCAAGGTTATTGAAGAAAAAATACAACTGAGCTAATCATACTTTAGGCTAATTAAACTACATAAATTCTAAACAACTAATATTATAAGCCAAGATGGATAATGGCTAGAAGCGGGATTCAGGACGCGCGTTTTGTCCCAGTTAAAACTCGCCAAACAAACAATACAAGAATCAGTTTAAACTTCATCCTGTTACACAGGCTAGTGGCTATCAGGACTCAGTGGCTATCAGGACTCAGTGGCTAAATGGGTAACTTAATGGTATTTGAATTGGACAGTAATGGGTTTGAATCGCAGAGTGAATTTCAATTCTGAGATGCAGGTACATCAAGCTGACGAGTCCCAAATAAGACGCAACGCTCGTCCTGCATTCAACTGCTAGCCACCATTCATCTCTGTTTACAATGCTAGTGACTTAAGACAATATCAAGGCAATCCGCATAGGATGCACATATGCTAATAAAAGACTGATCAATTGAAGTCCCAAGAATTAATGGAAGGATTAAAAAAACAATGCAAAAATGAATTATAGCTAATATTATTGATCTATGAAATATTTTCCTTTATTTTTGATAATTATTTATTAAACATAAATCACATTGATTATGCCACTTATCATAGTATGTGCATAAAACACAAGGACATGGTTCAAAAACGGTTACTAAACGTGATGTTGTACGAGTAATAAAACAAAAAACGTTGAAGTACATCAAAAATGAAAAATGTTAACATCAAATTCTATGAATGAAAAAACACAATGAGTAATCTTTTTTCTGTGTATTATTTTGAACAGTTACCTAATCAAAATTTGATTATATAATAACTTTCGTCCAAATTAGAGCAAATAGTTTCAGAGTATTTGGGCACCGAATTGATGTAAGAGATTAAATAGGATAGGTTCGCCAGGCGAAATGTTGGATTTACTTCAAATTCATTCGCTGAGATTTTACAAATATATTAGTCCTACAAAACGTGATTAGTTTGTAATTTCCTATTGCTGATTTTCTGGAATCTATTTCATTGTTCCCTATTGTCTTATACAAAATCTGAGAGGATTATTTAGATATATCTTTTAGTTACAAGTTATAGTATATTAGATAAACGGCTATTTTTTGAACCCAGAAAACGTGTTACCTCATATTAGGAAAACTCCAGCAGAATGTATTTCTATTACACTGTTGATACCTATACTGAGACTTCGACCCGGTATTACTCACTAAAAACACCAACTCACTATTTACATATCTGCACAGGTGTATCCAACTTGGAGGACCCAAATAGGAAGAAAGACTTGTATTGGATTTCAACTCTATCCTAATCAGTTATAAAACATTATGTTTTATTAGTTAAATGAAAGCACGTTGAATTTTGATTGGTTGCCTCTTAATGAGACAAAAACGACTCATAAATGATCACTTGTAATTTGTATTCCGTTGAATTTAAAAAAAGTATCACGAAATTGTTTGATTAAAGTTTTTTAATGATACTTCGGTCATTACAAGTTACTTCAAGGACGTTAATGTTCAAATGTTTACAGTACATTAATGTACTTTAAAATTAATTACTAGACAATTGCCCACGTAAATAAATATTAATTAGTTTGTTATTTAAGGTATGTCTGATCTAAAAAAGCTGTTCACAAAGATAATAATTAATAAATATTCCTTAAAAGAGAAAATTGCTAATCTTCATTTGAATGGTGAAATTTACCATTTATGTGCAATAGCTACTTTAGTAAATATTTCACTTAATTATGATTTTTTTAAAGTCATTTCCAAAATTGCGAGTTAATTGTTATTTAGTTACTTGGTTTCAATTATGGGTCGTGCTTTTCTCAAATCACATTACACATATGAGATTAAAAAGTTTCCACTTGGTGTTATTTACTTGTATCTTTCCATAGTTATTTAGAAATGCAGTTGATTAGTCTTTTGTTGGCATCATGTGCATCATGTGCCGACTGCATCGATATTGCCTTAAGTTACAGGCTTTATAAGCAAAAATGGATAGTGACTAGCAGTGGAATTTAGGATGCGCGTAGGTACACCCAGTAGGTACATCCAGCTCACGAGTCCCTAATAAGACGAACTGCGCTTCCTGGATTCCACTGCTAGTCACTATACATTTTTGCTTATAGAGATAAAGTAATATTCTGTAAATTATCATGGACATTCATCCAGCATTTATTTCTTTACTCCGTATAAAGCATTCACTATATTATAAAAATACTTTATTGATAAATGATAGTTAGCCGTCAGTTTGAAAAATTATTTTAGAACATGTTGAAATATTGAAATATGTAGCCAGAATGCTTATGCTGCTTTGTTTAATGGTAAGTTTTTTTCTCAAAGTAATACATGAATATAGACACTAGAGGATAGAAAGTTTTCTATTTTGTACTTGTGGTCAACAAAGGAACTCTGAGAAACACTTATTCATACGTAATAAATCACTTGATAACATATCCATAACTGTGTGACCTGGAATGATGAATTGATTTCCTTAAGTTTAACACTACTCAAAAAAATTACAAAGACAGTTTCCACACTTCACATTAATTTAAGCTAGTATTGTTTTTTATTTGTGATTATTTGTGTGTTTATCTCAGCTACTATTTGATACTGTACTTTAAGTAAATACAGAATTAGGCAACAAAGTTTTGTGATATATCGACAAATGTTGATAAGGATTAGTGTTAAGACGTAGAAAAAACCAGTCCACATATCACAGCATGATATATGTTTGAACATATTACGCTGTTTGGCTTATTGAAAAGTTATTTATAAAGGAAATATTTTGTTAGAATGATTGACTTTTTTCTAGGAAACCTATTATAGCTATACATGAAAATAAATCAGGTCACATGAACTAATATCAAATGACACATAAAGGTTTTCATTAAAAAAAAACCACAACATTGACATGATATTTAACTATGCGAAAAATGTGAATTAAAAAAAAACAACATATTCTTCTCTATATACATCTATAAAGTTTGATATAAATAGATTAGTTTTCTGACAGTTACTTGGTTTATAATTGAAGTCATTCATATTAGGTAAATAAAGTATTTATTCAGTCAATTAAATAGCTTTGATGTGAAAAAAATGTTTTAGGGATAGTTTTCCTGATTGAATTTATGTTTCATTCCTTTTTTTGTAATTGTTGTAATATCATAAATTATTTAACTGGAGATTATGCCTCTAAATACCCTGGTACGGCCGAGAGTGGGGAGAGTCTACTCTCCCTCTCGAAACGCTCTCACATGGCCAGCGAATATATAGCCTCTGCCAGGGAAGTCCTACTCACTGCCTTCTCGTGGCGGGGGTGTTGTTTACGAAAGTGAGAGGACGAAAAGCGAATGTCCGGAGCTCTAACCGGGTTGGTGGGCACGAAAGGTTCACCTAGGGGAGTTGGAAAACCCTGATTCTAAACCAGTGGTGCACATGGGCTCCAGTATCCTGAAGGAACAAATGGCATATGAACCAATCGTTGGTCACCGGCTACCATGGGACTGCATCTCCTCACGATGCTCCACTGCCTTGTGGATCAGACCTTTAGGTCGAAGATTCCGGGTGTGGCCCCCTAAGAAAAACAACTGCTTCAGTTTGGGCACATCCCTCACACAAATGAAATGAGATTTGTGCGGTGCATATTTATCTGGTGCCCTTTGTACCAATATTTATTTGTTTAAATAAATAAAATATGGAGAACATAAAGTATTTGAATAGGTGAATCGCTGTCATACATAAGAGTTATTCAACTTCAAATATTCAGCAAATGTAACAAGATGATTTATTTTTTAAATGATAATTTATAAGAAAAGTCATATTAAGACAAAAGAGTTTGTATATATATATATGTTAACGTAATAAGAAATTTATATACCGTTGGAATTAGATCTATATGAAAACATTCATAAATTAATTCATTTCTATTTAACTATTTTGAAGTTATTTCAATTTTTCTTCTTTATTAAACATAAACTTTTATATTCCTTATGAACAATAAAAATTTATTTTTATTAGTTGACTTTTAAAATATAATTAGCTATTTATAATTTATAACATGGATGTTAGATTACAACAGATTGTTTATTTTAGTTCTGTAACAATTACCGTGTTATAAGCAAACATGGATGGTGATTAGCAGTGGAATCCAGGACAGGCGTTTCGTCCTATTCCGGACTCGTCATTTGGGGGTACTTGTATCTGAGAGTTGACATTGACTCCAGGACTCGAACTCAGTACTGTTCGCTTCAAACGCCATCGCGTCATACATTTAACTAATGAGTCCCTATTGCACAAGTAAGTGACTATCAGGACTCAGTAGCTAAATAGATAACGCGATGGCGTTTGAAACGAATAGTGCTGGGTTCAAGTCCTAAAGTGAACATCAACTCTGAGTTGTAGGTAAATCCAGTTGACGAGTCCCAAATATGACGAAACGCTCGTCCTCTATTCCACTGCTAACCACTATACATCTTTGCTTATAAAGCTTGTGACTTAAGGCAATATCCAGGAAGTTCGCACAGCATGCACATATGCCAACAAGAGACTGATTAATTACAGTCCTAAATAGCAATGGGAAGATTGGAACAAACAATAACAAGTGAATTTAAATAGAGTGTTCGTTTAAAAGTAATCGTAAGTTACTAATTTTCACAAACAGTTGTTTAAAACATTTAATATCCCATTTTATTTTACAATTAAATATTAATTCGAATATAATTAAAATGTGAACGTACATCTTGCATTTCTTTTTCAGTACGTATAACTTCCATTTTTCTTCCCAAAATTCTTCTTGAACGCTTTTGCATTGCTATTCGAAATTCATATTGTTGTTTCTTGTGCATCATAAGGGCTGAAAAAAGACAATTTGATTTAGCTTTAGTAAAAGGCGTAAATATTAAATATCTTTTGTCCACTAAATGGACAGTTAGTATATAGTCGGATAAGTTATCAAAAGAACTAGTTCAACCGTTAATAGTGGTACAAAATAAAGATAGATTAAATCATCTAGTAAAGTTTTTGAGATTTTAGTCTTTCAATTATATTGCCAAATGGTGAATCTCTCTTTGCACAAACCATTGTATTCTAGATATCAGTGTTAACTTATGAGAAACGAAAATCCCGTTAGAGACTTGAAATCTTGTCTGTTTGATAGTGATCGATCTTAAATAAAGGTAAAATGATTAGGGCAGAGAAATACCAATTCACTAAATTTCATAGATTTACTTCAGCTACTTCGAATATTAATAATATTAGAAGATAACATTGTCATGTTGTATAATCCACATTTATAGGATATAATTAGTAGGACATAAAGAAATAAAACAATAACTATCTAGCTCTAGGAACCATGGTTAGAAAGAATTAACAATCACTTAGTATAATTTAAGGGATTTGTATGATTTTCAAAATGTGAGATGGGCAAATATCGCACAGTATGAAAAGTAGTTTTTTTCCCCCAAATGCCCTGGTACGGCCGAGAGTGGGGAGAGTCTACTCTCCCTCTCGAAATGCTCTCACATGGCCAGCGAATATATAGCCTCTGCCAGGGAAGTCCTACTCACTGCCTTCTCGTGGCGGGGGTGTTGTTTACGAAAGTGAGAGGACGAAAAGCGAATGTCCGGCGCTATAACCGGGTTGGTGGACATGGAGGGTCCACCTAGGGGAGTTGGAAAACCCTGATTTCAAACCGATGGTGCACATGGGCTCCAGTATCCTGATGGAACGAATGGCGGAAGAACCTGTCATTGGTCAACGGCAACCATGGGACTGCATCTCCTCACGATGCTCCACTGCCTTGTGGATCAGACCTTTAGGTCAAAGGCTCGGGGTGTGGTCCCCTAAGAAAACCACCTGCTTCGGTTTGGGCACCCGGGCAGTATCACAGCCCACACACAAATGAATGAAATTATGAACTCTATTGACGATAATATCCCTGGTCATACTAAAAGCAAGACAATTTACATTATTATTATTATTACCTCTATTATTATTATTATTATTATTACTATTATTATTATTATTATTATTATTATTTACCATATCGCTAACTCACCCCCTTTTATCCCCAATTTGTGTAACCTTACTTTTCAACTTATGCAGCAGCTCGATCTTGGTGGAAAATCTGTCCTATCTAAACGATCTCCAGTCACTGTCTGGTTGAAAGTGTATGCTTCCACCGATAATGAATACTGAGGCAGTCTTTCTGAAACCACGTACGCCGTTCAAGCTGGCTTCCTTCAACGTTCGCACACTAATGCAGATCAGACAACAGATAGGGCTGGCTATGTCTTTGGAAGGTCTTAATGTTGATGTTTGTTGTCTATCCGAGACCCGTATTCAAGACTCTAGTGAAGTACTACAAATCCGCTCTCCATCTGTCGCCTCGAAAAGCTTGTTCCACGTGCGCTTATCCGGGGACCCTGTGGCATCTTCGTCTGGTCTTGCTGGAGTTGGTGTCGCACTAAGCGCTAGGGCTGAGGCAGCACTAATCGATTGGATCCCCATTAACAGTCGGTTATGTGCTGTTAGATTAGAAAGTTCCATCAAAGTGAGAAGAAATCGGCGTGAGAAACGGTGTCTTTTCGTCATCTCTGCCTATGCCCCGACAGATTGCAGCCCGGATGCAATCAAGGATGAGTTTTACCACCAGTTAACAGTTCTTGTTCTTCTCCAGATAGCGCGTTCGACAGATATTGTAGTATTAGCCGGAGACTTGAATGCACAGGTCGGGCGTCTAGGCACAGAAGAGAGTCGTCTAGGTGGCCGATGGGGACTTGTTGGTCGCAGGACAGATAACGGGGACCGTTTGCTGCAACTGTGCACAGACCACAACCTGCTTCTGGCCAGCACTAACTTCCGGCACAGTCATCGCCGGTGTGCCACCTGGCGTCCTCCCTCTGCATCCCAAGCCTGGACTCAGATTGATCACATCGCGATCAGCTACCGCTGGCGTGGTTGTGTACAAGACTGCCTCTCCTTTTGGAGTACCTATCTGGAGTCTGATCATGCCCTGGTCTGCGCCAATCTCACCTTACTTTTCAGTGGCCGAAGGATTGACCGCCATCAACGGATCGATGTTAGTAAACTGGCTGCAACTTCTGTAGCAAGTAAGTATCGAGCGGAGCTAGCCTATTAGGCTAGCTACCACCCCACCGAAAAGTATAGATGAGCATTGGTTGCATCTTCACGACGCCATGAAAATGGCGAGTAAAGCCGCTTGCGGCTTCGCGAAACGTCCCGCTTACAAGCACTGGGTTTCTTCGGGCTTCTTACAACTGATGGAAGCCCGTCGGTCTACTCTGGGTGACCGTGAGTTTGACCACAATCGAAAGCTGTTACGTAATGAAATCGGGCAAAGCTTGCGTAAGGACCGGGAAGCCTGGTGGTCGGAGCGTGCTAATGAGATGGAAGCAGCAGCTGCATCTGGTAACTACCGGAAGCTCTTCCAACTCATCCGAGCCACTGGCAGCAAGAAGTCTGGTGTGAGTGAAACAATCTACGAGGATGACGAGATGCCAATCACTAACATCTGTCGACGTCTTGGACGATGGGCGGAATTTTTCGAAGGGCAGTTCAACTGGCCTGCTGCTCCGGCAACATCAACCAGCTTGTCCTGCCCCCCCCATGGCCGGTGACGACTGATCCATCAAACGAGGCGGAAGTCCGCAAGGAACTCCAAATCTTGAAACGTCATAAATCACCTGGCCCAGATGACTTACCTCCGGCTCTTTTTAAAGATGGTGGTGACTGTCTGGCTAAGGAACTGACTGCGTTGTTTGTAAAGGTTTGGGAGCAAGAAAGTGTTCCAACATCATGGAATGAGTAGATAGTCGTCCCTGTCTTTAAAAAGGGTTCACGTTGTTCCTGCAATAACTACCGGGGGATAAGTCTACTTTCGATTGCGTCCAAACTATTGGCTTCTATCATTCTTCGTAGGTTGTTTAAAACCCGAGAACGATTGACTCGCGAGGAGCAGGCTGGTTTTCGTTCTGGTCGAGGATGCATTGATCACATCTTCACCCTCCGCCAAATGTTAGAACACCGTCATACTTATCGCAGGCCAACAATCGTAGTGTTTCTTGATATCAGGGCGGCCTTCGATTCGTTGGACAGGATTGTTCTCTGGGATTGTCTATTGAAGAAGGGTGTGCCTGAGAAGTTCATTAACATCTTAAAGGCCCTGTTTACGAACACCTCAGGCAGAGTGAGGGCATACAACCACCTTTCTCCCTTGTTCCATTCGAGCAGTGGGGTTAGGCAGGGTTGCCCGATCTCACCATTCCTCTTCAACTTTGCCATCGACGACATCCTAGAAACAGCTCTGGTGGACGTAAGTAATGGCGGTGTGGATATGTTGCCTGGAGAACGACTTCTCGACCTCGAGTATAATGCTCAAGCCATGCAATCCGCACTTAATCAGTTGGCAATCAGTGTCCGCAGGTACGGCATGTGCTTTGCACCCTCCAAGTGCAAAGTACTCCTACAAGACTGGCAGGATTCTCATCCTGTACTCACCCTGGATGGTGAGCAGATCGAAGTAGTTGAGAAGTTCGTGTATCTAGGTAGCTATATAAGTGCTGGTGGTGGCGTGAGTGATGAGATTGATGCACGTATAATGAAAGCCAGAGCGGCTTATGCCAATCTGGGCCATCTTTGGCGCCTTCGTGATGTTAGTCTGGCTGTAAAAGGTCGGATCTACAACGCGTCGGTGAGAGCAGTTTTGCTCTATGCTTGTGAAACCTGGCCTCTCCGAGTTGAGGATGTTAGACGTCTCTCTGTGTTCGATCATCGTTGTCTCCGAAGGATTGCTGACATCCAGTGGCAACACCATGTTAGTAATGCAGAGGTTCGGCATCGTGTGTTCGGGCACAGAGACGATAATTCAATTGGTGTCACCATCTTGAAACACCGACTTCGGTGGCTCGGACATGTTTTACGAATGTCGTCCCAGAGACTTCCACGTCGTGCATTATTTGCCGACCCTGGGACTGGTTGGAGAAAGCGGAGAGGAGGTCAGTGTATGACATGGTGTCGTGGCATGAAAGAGAGCTGCAAAGGGCTAGCTTTTGTTGGTCCTTCACGACTCCCTGGTTGGGGTCCGAGAGATGGTGCAACACAGTGGTTATAGACGTTATCAGATATGGCTCAAAATAGAAGCCAGTGGCGATCCTGCTGCAACCTTCTTTTACTTTCTACATAAAGAATGGTTCTAACTTTCCTAACTGAAAAAGTCTTCTGGTTGTACATTTCAGCCCGCCTTATCTTTTCATCCCTTCTTTTCCTAATTTCATTATTTTGTGTGGCGCATATGTACCTGGTGCCCTTTTGTACCAATATATATGTGTTTAAATAAATAAATAAATAAAATAGTTTTTTTCAAAAGGAAAAATAACAATTAAGTGATTAAGGATATATATATATATATACATTTCGAGGTAACAGAAAATGAACACTTGTCGATTTGTGATCTTTTTATAAAGCGATTCATTTTATACACATTAAATGAGTTATCTTCAGCCCAAACGTTTATCCCAGTACGAATTAGTTAAATGATTTTCCAATGTTTTAAAAGGAAACTTTCTTCTGAAATCCATTTTGTTCAAAACGTTCATTATCTAAGGATATTCATTTTCCAGTAGACGATTTTCATTTAGCCTATAATTCAGAACATGCTAAATTAATTTAAGTAGACTATAATTAGCCGGTTGAACGTATTGTCTGAATTAATTATACGAATAAATGTATCTTAACAGCAGGTAGATAAACGCAAAATAACTTGATGTCAGTCTATCAGTAGACAGAATCATGTGATATTTTTAAAAGAAATTAGTGCCTACTAGTCGTACTTTCATTTTATATATCGAAAAACATGTAAAACCTAAACAATTTGAATGACAATCTGTGTAAACATTTTTGGTTGGTAGTTAAATAATCTTAAATCTATGCATGGTAATTCAACATTAATTGTCGCTCGTGTTTTTATTCCCGTTTTTATGAAATGGTATGAATCTACCGACTCAATAGTAAATCGTTCAAGCCTTTTTATTGTCTCCGATGGCCTGGTGATTGGTGGTCATGGGTTTGTGATGAAATTATTAACGTTTTAGGTCACCTCAGTATCTGACATTACAATTCGACCATCATGTTGGTTATACTTATGTCAGAGAATGCAAGAGAATGAATGAAGTGAAAAACATAATTTGTTAATCGCCTACCATCCAGGTGATACTGTAGTGAACAGAACACTACTTGGGGTCAATCGAATGTATTTAAGCAAAAGTTACAGACTATCTCAATAAATTCTGAAAACCATACAATGTACAGTCAATTTGCAAATTAACAACCAATAGTCTCGATCTTCACTGTTTCTTCTCTAATTCCATTGTTCGTGCATTTTCCTACCGATTGCTCTTCGTTTCTGTCCTTTCGTCATTGGTCTTCTGCCAAAATACATTCTATGTCTGACCCACGCCATATACTACTTATATAGATATAAGTAGATCACACCACAATACTACTCCGTAAATTGAACACAAAAGTACAAACTCAACATACCTATTCATTAATCGTTCAGATTGTTTAAACCCATTTGGAAGGATCAATGAGTTGCATGATTTTAGAAACGATAACTGATTGACTAAAAAGACTCAGTAATTATATTTGCTAGCATAATGGAGAATTAACCAAGAAACAAGAGATAAAAATGAAGACGAAATTCCACTAGCTGAATATAATTATTATTTCAATAAAACTTGTTCCGTTCCGAGTTAATCAGTACAGTCAAACTATATCATAGTCTAAAAATGTCACAACCAAAGTTCTGTCTGAAGAACACTAAGTTACATCACAAAATTTCATAAAAAATAGCAAAACTCAGATGAAGTCCAGGTGGAAAAATTTAATATATCAGTGAGGTAAAATTTTAATGAAGTCTTCAAGTGGAACTAAATAAATTTAGCATATAATTACTGAATCAGTTGGAAATCAAGTAGTCAATGGAATCGAAATATGATAACTATGTGATAACTATTCACGTTATTTTTGACACAGTATTCTTGTTAAACTATTTCCTTACGCAAGAGATCAAAAAGAACCAATTACAGAGCCCATATGCAGTCTTCACTAGTATTCGAGTTTTGCTGTCAGTTTGATTTTGTTTTCATGGCTGTTCATCTAATGATAACAGCAGTCTAAACAATCTCAGATAATATGTCTTATTAAATGAGCTTTCGAAGACATATTCTCCACTTGAAACAATATGCATACTCAGCTCTGTGGACTAGAATGTTTCAAAAGTATGCATTTAACTTTCATGCGTTGATGAAAAGCACATGAGCGAAATTGTTAGTTTACAACATAGTCATTGAAATATCAGTGGATCTGTTGAATAGACGCTTGTGAAAACAATTCCAAAATATACGGATTTATTTCTTACTGCTTTGTCAGTTTTTTATGGTATGTATTCATAATATATATGTGAAACATGATTGGAATGTCGTGCTGAATTCTCAGCTTACTTGGATTTACACATTAAAACAGTAAATTAACATTTGAACTCATCATACTTATGAAATCTAAGTATTACGTTCCCCATGGAACTAATGAGGTGTATTCACTGATGCTATCCTTTTTAAACCATGGGATCGTTAACTTGAAAGGGACTATAATCTAACCTTGACATTTGAACTGTTCATTAAGCAAATGAATCTCAGGATTGGAGTGCAAGTCAGTGTGGCCCAATACGGAACACACATTTCACGTAACATCACTCATCCTCCCGAAACCATAGTAGACAGTGATATTTTCAAACGTACATTAAACGATTAAAACACAAAAACTTAAATAAATAAGTTTATAACCTAAATTCAATCAAGCAATGATTTAATACGATTTCAAACTGAATCCATGTACTTTTTTGTCAAATATTTTAGATAGTTTATACACTAAATGTATATAACATACCTTGTAAACACAAGAATAGCAGAAAAAGTAAACAAATGTAATAAGATAAATTAACTTTTACATTTGTGACCATGAATGACTAATCAAGCTGTAACAATTAGAATGGAATTTATCAAATTGAAATAACTGATTGTCGCATACACATAAAAATGAAATAAAAATTGTATTTATGTCTCGCAGAAATACCTAAGTCAACTACATATTCTGATTAACTCCTGTTAGTAATTGGAACGTTTATTTAGTCATTCAGCTAGAACCTGAACACACATTTCTCAGGGTAAAAACCGTTTGTTTGAGTAATCATGAGATAATGGTTAAATATTCAACTACTTGAGTTTCAAAACTGTTATGATTTTCTATCGAATTCTGTCATTTCCCCTACAGAAACATGTATTGTTTACATAACTAGGTTATTAAGCTACCTATTTATACGTAACCTTTTGTAGTCAAAATGCTTTGAAATTGTGATGATTATGCAGTAAATGAAACTGAAATCTTTAAACTGAGTCCATTTGAAAACAGACCTTCAATGTGGTCGTGAGTATTTTAATTTACAGTGCTAGTTTAGACATTGAACATTTTATAGTGAAAAAGCTAGTTATTCACTTCTTGATGTACCTGCCTCAATATTTTACACAGTAAAATTACTTTGTCGTCGATATCCAATCACTTAGATAACAGATTTAGGAATAGGTGTAGTGTGTTGATCATTCGAATAGATGAGTAAAGTTGATGTAAAATCACAGATCATTTAGGTCAAGTGAATGTGAATCTTGATCCAATCACTCTAACAAATGATGTTTTCTTTGTAAACTTCCGAAAATTCCCATAGTGTGAATTAGAACAACACTTATAAGCGAACATTATAGTTTTCAACTAGGTCGTCATCAGGATTCACTTCAATACACGGTAATATTTATATACATATACGAAATTATTAAATCAATCAAGGCAGTTTATGAGTCAATGATAACAGCGGGATGTATTACAAATATAAATAATAGGTAAAACGTGTAAACTGATAGTGTGATGACAGGTGTACTAGTAGTGATAAGAATAATAAAGACTTGAAGTAATATTTGATAATAAGAAACAGGCCAATGAACAGAAAAGTATGGACACTTTTGATGAAGTTTTGTTTCTTGAGCTTGATGGTTTGGTCGTGGAGCTTTCTTCTGAACGACATCGGTAGCAGCACAAACTTCAGGTGAAAGTCTGACCAAACCATTCAGCTCAGAGAACAAAACTCCATCAAAATCATCTGCCTGAGCTATAAATCTTCTCCACCATCATAAGTATAAACTTTGAAATAGCATTCGTTAAAAATCATAAGATTAAGTAATAAAAAGTGTTTATATAACTGGACAATGAAGAGTAAATTTATAGAAAATTACTGGACAAAAAGTGTGGAAAATCATAATAAATAAAATCTTTTATTACGGCCTATTCAGCTAAAGAAGAGACAATAAGTAAATGTTAAGAACACAAAAATCTCATAAAAATAATCAAGTTATCATAAAAACATCATAGAATTGATATTATTCTAGTACACAATGAACTAAACGAAGCACAATGTGTTTGCATCATAACGTATTCACTATTGAGATAAAATAGTTTATTTATTAGCTTACCATTTATTATTCGAATAATCCTCCATAGCAATAAAACAACCATTGCAGCTGCAGTTTCGGATACATAACGAACATACAGTACATCGGAAGCTAAAGAGGCTACTATGATTGCTCCATCGAAGTACTGAAAAATAAGAAAATCAATTAAAAATCAAACAGTAATTTCTCTTTGTTTAAAATGAAAATTTATGAAATTCTTACCATTTTCTCCGTCAGAATAAACGTTATTAGTCTTCGTCTTATTACGGATATCTTCTATATACATACAATGACAGTTTGTACATTATAAAAGTGTTTAACTTTGGTTGGAAAACTACATTCATTTAAATGCTCATTTTTTTGTCATTAAATGTAACACAGGCCTAATAGTAATTAAGAGTAATAATTATTTGTCATAACAATTTCTCATAGCTAAATAAATATGGTACCTTATCAATATTTCGTTTCATAAAACAAGTAATTCAACTGATAATAAGATTAAAATAAAATATTAGAGTTATTTAGTAAAATATAATCAAATTCAAAAGACAGTTTAGACATTACATCAACATATTTAACCCTTACAGACACGTAACTTCAACCACACTATTAGTATTCATATTGAACTACAAACTATACTATGTTGTTACTCTTTGATTGAAGGCTCTAACTGAACATAAAGTAAGCCAAGGCAATCAAATTTTAGTCATTCTTTAACAAGTAAATACTTTAATTGTTACACAGTTACACTCATGGAGATGGAGTATGGTACCTAAAAGTGTCATCAGTTTTTAATTTCAGTGAACTATATATCTAAGTTGAAGAATCAACAACGACTGCATATACCTACCTGCAGGTCTTATGAATCAACGTGGAGTTAATTAAAACAGAAAAATATCAAAAATTGTAAACACTAATCAGATTATCTGAGAAAAATATATTGTTTTTGATTATATTTGTCATTTATTAAAATAATCGCATTCAGTAATAAATTTACTAAAATTTTCAGTACGTGTGCTTGTGGAAATTGTAGTATCTTAACAGTTGAAATCACGAGTTAATCTGAAACAGATCTCCTATGAAGATCCGGAAGCACTGGATAGCCATTTCGCCCTGATACGGGATTCCTCAGGAGTTCGTATCTACGGTCCCGCACTCAGGACTCGAACCCAGCACCATCTGTCCAGCGCGAACGCTTAACCCCTGGACCACTGAGCCAGAAAACAACGGTATTAATGTCTAACTTCCATCAATCTATGACTTGGTCCTCGGTCTCACGTGAAGAATCGTGAATGCGCACTGCCGAGGAGTCCCATACTTATTAAAATTAGTAATGTAAATAGTAAAAGTAGAAATAAATAGGTGTATCCATTGTTCTAACAGACTATAGTAAAGTTAGCCTGTGATTACTATTTCTGTGCTCCTGATTTATTATCTGTTGTTCTCAATAAATAATAAACAGAAACTATTTTGGAATTATAAGATTTCGATTAGATGTTTTTTTATAAATTTTGTTTCTAATTTAATTAGTGTTTTATACGTCTGTTTAATAAAATTAGGTTTTGATAATATCAGAATAACGGCATAAAATGTATTCAGCTACCTATCAGAAGCTGTCATTTAAAAAACATAAATGCAGAAAGTATGTTCTACTAGGCAACAGGTCCAGAAGTAAAAGGATGTAAATAAAAGCATAAAAAGACTAGAAGAATATCTACTAGTTGAATCCCATAGAAATATATTTTGTTAATCATAAGTAAGACTTCAATAAAGTAAACCTCAATTCAGATCTAATAATGTTAGTTCCTGGTTTAAAAAGCCTGAAATTCATTTCTGATCATCATAAATACTGTTGAATCTGTGTTTTGTGGATATCTTTCTTATTATTTACTTAACTTTAATCTTTACCGACATTGAATCTAGGGTATACATTTATAAAGTGACAAATAATGCCTGAAATCACTGTCATATGACTTGGTGAATATTAGTTGTTTTTCTTTATAGTAATAGTCAAACAGACATTAAAGTTATCAGAAGGAAAACCCTTTTTTTAAATGCTTGCTATTTTTTAATTTATTTGTATTCACTCTATTTCTTGTTAAGTTTTAGTTTATTTTAACGCTTTCGTAGTAGATAAAGTTTCTCATCAGAAATAGTTCATTTGTGAGAGAGACCACAAATATATATCAGTTAATCACTTGCAGTTAATGATTGTTCAGAATAATTACTATTGGAATGTGTTTACACTGATCTTTTCACTTTTTGTGTTGCTAGAGGATTAGTTTCAGATTTAGGAATAAAATTTACAAAAAAATGTTGATTCCTTTACAGTAAGGTTAATTTTCACAGATTCGTCTGCATCAGTAGGCCTCAACATACACAAGGGAAAAAGCAAGATCCTGAAATATAATACAGTCGACATTAAAGAAATTACACCTGTTGGTGAATCTCTGGAAGAGGTGAAACTTACACGCACCTGAACAGCACCATCAACAAACAAGGAGGATCTAATGCAACCTAAAGGTACGGATTAGTAAAGTAAGGGTGGCGATCCCGCAGTTTAAGAACATATGAGGCTCAAGACGACTATCAGTCATCTGTAGAGATCCATAGACGCTATTGCTAATTATGTTTTTCACACTTCAACCATATATCTCACATACAAGTCAATGTATATTTTAATTAACTCCCACTTTTTAAAGTTGACTGATTGACTTAAAGTTTATGCGGTTTCTAGTAGAACTATCAGATAGAATTGTGGTGTATGCTCCTTATGTTTGCAGATATAAGTAGCTCGTAACACCAGTCGGAAGTGGAATGTTTTAGAACAGAAGATTGAGAAGATTGAAGTGAAGAGGAGAGAAAACGAAGTTGAAAAGGAATCAAGATGTAGAAACAATGAAACTTGTAAAACAAAATCCAAAGAAGTTGTGCGAATGATGTTTTCGATGTGAAATCTTCACATTCTACCAAGCTACCGTGTGACTGTGCATTAAACAGTCAACATGTCTTCCTTAGCTGAGTGTTCGTTTACTACAAAATGAATAATAAAAAAAACATTGACTTATTTCGTTTAGTAATTGAATAAGTCTTGTGACGATGTACATGGCACCAAATTTATCGGCCATTCACAGCGATATTGTAATGAAATATAAAAGCCAAATTTTCACGTTTGTTAATATACATTATATATAATATAATTTCTAATGTTAATATCCTTCTGAACAAAATTGATTATAACTGCTTTTATTTTCTAATGGTAAAAATTCAATTATGTAGTCAGAGAAAGTAATCAAATAAGCAATCATAATAGAAGACAGAAAGGTGATGAAATTGTAGGGATAGATTTTAAAGTCAACATTTTTCTCTAAACATTTAGTGACAGTTAGTATAACAACTTTATTCTGTTTCTTTCTTTCATGGTATTTTGTCATAAGTTTGTTGCCTGAAGGCGGTTATTGTTTTTTTTTTCTTTAGTGTTAAAAATCAAATGACGGAAATAGTATGTTTGTCAAACACAGCTTAAGTATGTTTTCATCATTTTTTTTCTCTAGACAATTTGCCACTAGACAACGAAATAAAAAAAAACAAAGTTTATCATATATAGTAAGCTGAGACAAATCTTCAACATTGATTGGCATTTTGTTTGTCATAATACAGTTGTACAGATAAGTAAAGGCACCCACCAATGCATTACACAATGTGGACACGTTTGTATTATTGTTGTATACATAACTCTACTTTGATTATAACTCCTGTGTTGCAAAAAGTCATTTACGAAAACATGATAAAATAGTTAGACTTGAATTGTAAGCAATAGACTTTTTAATTCAAAGGAGTTTTGTTCTGTAAATGAAGTATCTGATAACTGAATACTTTATATATATCGAACACATGAACTATGATAATGGAAAAAAAGATTGATGAATCACAAAATGTTAAGTAGTTGTAATGTGGGTGCTTTATCAGTCTTCATCAATTTAAAAAACGGTCTTGAACAGTGTTGATAATAACGGTGACATTTATTTATCACATTTATTCGTTTATTTATTTACATCATTTTGTATTGTATAGTTGGTGATAATTGATGTGAAGTATTCGTCTTGTAATACTTTAAATGGTGCAATATAATCGCTAGTAACTAGCAGTAAAATTCAAGACATTCAAACCCGTTAGTTGCGTTAAATGAAAAACACCAAGTTCGAATTTTAGTGTGAACATCACTGGTTGAAATCAGTGGATATATCTTGCTGACAAAGATCGAATGAGATGAAACACGTGCCTCGGATCCCAGTAGTAGCAACAGTCCACCTAATCGAAAAAAACTTATGTGTAATCGGCTTTATAAAGGCCCTCGGCACAAGATCCTTACTTATAAACAAACACTGATTGAAATCTAGTTGTAAATAACAACAAGTGATAACACAAATTGTAATTATAATAATTCAGGTTAATTAGTTGAAATAATCATGTTTAAAGTAGAAGTAGAATGTGTTTATTTCTAGTTTTCTCATTATGCTCAATTAAATTTCCATCTTGTATATGAGAATTTCGTAAATCATGACATAATTCAACTACGTAAATATTATTTTTATAATGAAATATCTTTCTTATTTTAGCTTCATTCAACACTGATAGATTTATTGTCATTTATTTATCTCAAATGTATTTTTCTTTTGCCCTATGTAATAATCATATAAGTAGGTTTCTTAACTTTTTAAGATAAAAAGAAAAGAATTTGTTTTAACGAAAGTAAAATCAACGGTATACAGAAGAGATAGGATTAAATTGTTTCACAGTAATCAGGCGTTTTACACTTATTGACATAATATAACCACATCAGTATAACAGTAAGTAGTTAATTGGCTTATGGCAATAATTGTCAAAAACATTGCTTGCATCTTTTAGTAATCAATTAAGCAGAAATCATTTATGTAGATAATTGATTTCCTGTCGTAAGTAATCATGCATAAATGAGAACTTTTTTCTAATTGAATTTTATTTTAATTCTTTTTTATATTTTCTGACCATCGTTAAAAAAACCAAAAATAATTGATGTTAGGTCACTTTGAAGTCATTATTAATTATTTTCATAGTTGAAAGCATTAGTCAATTGAAGCTAGACCACCAACGAAAACCTGGAAG